TGTGTGTGTGTATATGTGTTTGTATAAAACTATCCAAATTCTCATGGCCTCACCTCACAAACTATCCGTGTGATACTAGGGAGCTCCTGGAAAAGATGGTGAAGTTGGCCCTTCTGGTCCTGTGGGCCCCCCGGTATGTAACCTTTTAGTGAGAATATCTATACATTGCATTTTTAAATGATGTTTGCCCAAGACTTTACTTATGAATAAGTTTCAGAGAAAGTGAATAAGAATGTACAGGACTAAAGAATTTCAGTTATATATCTTATTTTGATTTCTGTGATATGGTGTTTTCTGCCTTTTTAAATATAATAATTGGTCTTTTCATTTTAAACTTCTTTAAAAGTCTAATGGCAAAGGCTATCTCACCATCTTTATAAAGTTACAGTTGAAGAATATGTAACTGAGGAAAGTAGTGTTTGGCAAATAAATATTTCATAATGTGTTTTATTTAAAATATTGGAATACTGGATTATATCTACCCTCTTCCAATAGTATATCTTACAAAAATTTATCTAAGCTGGTTTTTCACCAAGGAGGCAAAAAGGAATAATATTTATCCTTTGAGGTTATATTTTAATCCTAGAATTTTAAAATTAAGGGTTTATCAGAAATATTTTGGCATATTTATTTGTTTTGGGGTGGAACAGTTTAAATATCTTTCTAAGATGTTAGCTTTGCTTTCTTTAGTCACTCCAGTTTTGAGGTCTCAATTAATAATTTTATGACACCTAGAAATAAACTACATTAAAAATATGACCCTTTTTGAATAAATATATAAAATTAATGAGTTTTTCCATATTTAATTTATCCAGTTCCCCATAGTTGATTGCTGGAGCCAGATATTTTGTGTTGAGATAAAAAAATAAGTATATGTCATCATCTCTCCAATGGCTTTAGAAGATATTTTCTCACCCGGAGGGACTCCAAACAATACCATTAAATGACTTTTAATAGTAGTTTATTATCTGGCTAAAGTAAAAAACATGCGATTGGAAGAAATACAAAGAAATATTAATACTTGTAACGGTTCACATAAAAGGGAAACAGACGTAAAGATCTGGCTGTATTCATGATTTTCTTTCCTTGGCGACTTAGGGTCTGGCTGGGGAAAGAGGAGAACAGGGACCTCCAGGTCCCACTGGCTTTCAGGTATGCACTAATTCAGTTTTTTCATTAACTAAAATACTTTTTTAAAGTATAAAAAAGATATGGTTGAGTGATGTAAAATTCTATATTTTCCAAAAAGTCATCTCTCTTTTAGTAGATAGGATAGACTTTTGGATAAAATCAAATATTTTTGATCAAAGAGAAGGTACATGCTTCTTCTGAAAAACTGATCAAAACCCCAAACTATTTTTTTATCGACACATAGTTGGTTGTACACATCTGTGCAAACCTCAAACTATTAACAAATTAAAAATAATAAAATATTCCTGATATTTTAACAAGTTGTATTAAACTATTTTAAGTTTATCTAGTATTATTGGCACGGTGACTAAATTTTTTTATTGAATAATATTTTATGATATATCTACATTTATTGGTTTGTACATTTTTTAGTGGCACAAATAATCACTTGTGAAAAAAACTTTCCATCTTTCAGAACTGACTTTCAATAATACTCTAGCAGTCTAAAAAATTTTTCTTGGAACCATAAAATCTCTACAAATATGAAGAAACTCCTGTTATACTCTTCTCTCTTTTTTGCTAAGTGGTATGCAGATAAAAATCTAACCCTTTAAATTGACTAGTTGGTGATTTATTAGAGGTAGTTTTCTTATTGTGTCTGAACAGTATACTTTGCTTAATGTGTCTAAACAATATCTTTCGTTTGAAAATATAGTCATGGAGACACTATGAATTGTAAAA